TGAAAATTATATTGACTTGCTTAATCATGGGTCCACTTTGGAGCTTTGTAGGATAATTTCATTAGTCTCTCTCAACTGGGCTTTTCCCTCTCTTTATACCTATCTCATTCTAGAACTTTCCATCTCCCTGAGACTAATGTCTCTTGAGGATTTTGCCAGTGAACACTCAAGGGAGACACCTCTTACCCCTACTCTCTTCTGTGGCCAATTGTGGGTTGGAGATTCACCAGATTTTGCCTTTCAGTCTACAAAGGTAGATCTACCTGTTTTCATTTCAGGGTCTCCAGGGCTGATATTAATCTCCGGGGACTAGAAATCATTGTGGTCAAGTGTCTGCACCTGGTATAGCAATCTGTGCAGGGATAAGAGAGGTGAAAAGTACTATGGAAACTCATTTCCTTATAAGATTTTGGTTGGCTTAGAGACTAGCTACTTGAAGGCAGGAGAATAGGCAAGAAATCTCTCCTATCTCTAAGAGGAACCCTTCTTTATTTCCTTAACTATTGTATTCACATCTTTACCACTATCATTTTAACCTAAGCCACCAACATTGCTTACCTGCACTACTGCAAAGGACTTCTAAGAGAGACTCCCTGCTTCCTCTTTATCTCCACAATCCATTCTGCACACAGCAGCCAGAGTGATCTCTCTATGATGTAAGTCAGATATTGCCAGTCTCTTGTTCTACGCCCTCCAATAGCTACCTAACATCATTTGAATCAAAGCCAAAATCCTCACCCTGGCCTTAAAAACCCTGCGTAATTTGGCACTTGACTCTTTCAACCTCTGTTTGGAATGTTCTGTACACAGATTGTCACATTGTTGGCTCCTTCTTGTCATTCAAGCCTCTGCTCCAAGTTCAGCACCCCTGAGAGGACACTCTCTGGTCACCTTTTCTAAAGCAATCCCTGCCTATTCCATCTATCCTATCACTCTCTACCTCATCCTGGTTTTAAGATTTCTCCTTCTTGGATCTTACTGATAGCTATAATTTACTTATTGACTTATTTTCCTATTTATGATTTGTCCCTGCTCCATGAGGACAGGGACCTTATCTATCTAAATCTATGCTATATCCTTAGCATCTATTATAGTGTAGTAGGGCATTGATGTTGTTGTCATTGTTCAGTTGCTAAGTTGTAGCTGACTCTTTGCAACCCCATGGACTGCAGCATGCCAGGCTTCCCTGTCCTTCTCTATCTCCCAGAGATCAAACTCATGTCCATTGAGTCAATGAGGCCATCCAACCATATCATCCTCTGTTGCCCCCTTCTCTTCCTGCCCTCAATCTTTCCCAGCATCAGGGTCTTTTCCAATGAGTCAGTTCTTCACATCAGATGGCCAAAGTATTAGAACTTCAGCTTCATCATCAGTATTAGAACTTCAGCTTCATCATCAATCCTTCCAGTGAATATTCGGGACTGATTTCCTTTAGGACTGACTGGTTTGATCTCCTTGCAGTCTAAGGGACTCTCAAGAGTCTTCTCCAGCACCACAATTTTAAATCATCAATTTTTTGGCATTCAGCCTAATTTATGGTCAACTCTCACATCTGTATGACTACTGGAAAAACCTTAACTTGAACCATACAGACTTCTGTCAGCAAATTGATGTCTCTGCTTTTTAATATGCTATCTAGGTTTATCATAGCTTTCCTTCCAAGGCTGCAGTGAATTTCTGCAGTGATTTTGCAGCCCAAGAAAATAAAATCTGTCACTGCTTCCACTTTTTCCCCTTCTATTTGCCGTGAAATGATGGGACTGGATGCCATGATCTTAGTTTTTTGATGTTGAGTTTCAAGCCAATATTTTCACCCTCCCATTTTACCATCATCAAGAGGCTCCTTAGTTCCTCTTCACTTTCTGCCATTAGAGTGGTATCATCTACATATCTGAGGTTGTTGATATTTCTTCTGGTAATCTTGATTCTAGCTTATGATTCATTCAGCCCAGCATTTCTCATGATGTACTCTGCATATAAGTTAAATAAGCAAAGTGACAATATTCAGCCTTGTCATACTACTTTCCCAATTTTGAATCAGTCCATTGTTCCATGTCCAGTTCTAACTGTTGCTTCTTGACACGCATACAGGTTTCCTAGGAGACAGGTAAGGTGGTCTAGTACTCCCATCTCTTTTAAGAATTTTCCGCAGTTTGTTGGGATCCATACAGTCAAAGGCTTTAGTGTAGGCAATGAAGCAGATGTTTTCCTGGAATTCCCTTGCATTCTCTGTGATCCAATGAATGTTGGCAATTTGATCTCTCGTTCCTCTACTTTTTCTAAATGGAGCTTGTATATTTGAAAGTTTTTGGTTCATGTACTGCTGAAGCCTTGGTCGAAGAATTTTTAGCATAACCCTGCTAGCATGTAAAATGAGCACATTTATATGGTAGTTTGAACATTCTTTGGCATTGCCCTTCTTTGGAATTGGAATGAAAACTGACCTTTTCCAGTCTTGTGGCCACTACTGAGTTTTCCAAATTTATTGACACATTGAGTGTAGCACTTAAATTGCATCATCTTTTAGGATTTGAAATAGCTTAGCTGGAATTCCATCATCTCCACTAGCTTTGTTCATAGTAATGCTTCCTAAGGCCCACTTGACTTCACACTCCAGGATGTCTGGTTCTAGGTGAGTGACCACACCATCATGGTTTTCTGGGTCATTAAGACCTTTCTTGTATACTTCTGTGTGTTCCTGCCATCTCTTCTTAATCTCTTCTGCCTCTGTTAGGTCTCTACCATTTCTGTCCTTTATTGTGCCCATCCTTGCGTGAAATGTTCCTTTGCTATCTCCAGTTTTCTCGAAGAGATCTCACATCTTATGCATCCTATTGTTTTCCCCTATTTCTTTGCACTGTTCATTTAAGAAGGCCTTCTTATCTCTCCTTGCTATTCTCTGGGACTCTGCATTCAGTTGGCTATATCTTTCCCTTTCTCCTTTGCTTTTTGCTTCTCTTCTTTCCTCAGCTATTTGCAAGCACTCTTCAGACAATCATTTTTCCTTCTTACATTTTTTTCTTTTCTTTTTTTTTTACATTTTTCTTTCTTTGGGATGGTTTTGGTCACTGCCTCCTATATGATGTTATGAAACTCAGTCCATAGTTATTCAGGCACTCTATCAGATCTAATCCCTTGAATCTATTTATCACTTCCACTGTATAATCTTAAAGGATTTTATTTAGGTCATACCTGAATGGTCTAGTGGTTTTCCCTATTTTCTTCAATTTAAGCCTGAATTTTTCAATAAGTAGTTCATGATCTGAGCCACAGTCAGCTCCTGGTCTTGTTTTTGCTGACTGTATAGAGCTTCTCTATCTTCAGCTGCAAATAACATAATCAATCTGATTTCTGTATTGACCATCTGGTGATGTCCATATATAGAATCGTATATTGAGTTGTTGGAAAAGGGTGTTTGCTATGATTAGCGTGTTCTCTTAACAAAACTCTGTTAATCTTTGCCCTGCTTCATTTTGTACTCCAAGGCCAAACTTGCCTTTTATCCTGGGTATCTCTTGACTTCCTACTTTGGCATCCCAATCCCTGATGATGCAAAGGACATCTTTTTTTGTGTGTTAGTTCTAGAAGGTGTGGTAAGTCTTCATAGAACCAGTCAACTTCAGCTTCTTCACCATCAGTGGTTGGGGCATAGACTTGGATTACTGTGATGTTGAATGGTTTGCCTTGGAAATGAACTGAGACCATTCTGTCATTTTTGAGATTGCACCCAAGTACTGCATTTTGGACTCTTTTGTTGGCTATAAGAGTTACTCCATTTCTTCTAAGAGAATCTTGCCCTCAGTAGTAAATATAATGGTCATCTGAATTAAAGCCGTCCATTCCCATCAATTTTAGTTCACTGATTCCTACACTGTTGATGTTCACTCTTGTCATCTCCTGCTTGACCATGTTCAATTTACCTTGATTCATGGACTTAACATTCCAGGTTCCTATGCAATAATGTTCTTTACAACATCGGGCTTTACCTTTACCACCAGACATATCACAACTGTGTGTCATTTCTGCTTTGGCCCAGCTGCTTCATTCTTTCTGGAGCTATTAATAATTACTCTTTGCTCTTCCCCAGTAGCATATTGGATGACTTCTGACCTGGGAGACTCATCCTCCAGTATCATGTCTTTTTACTTTTTCGTACTATTCATGGGGTTCTCGTGACAGGAATATTGCAGCGGGTGACCATTTCCTCCTCCAGTAGACCACATTTTGTCAGAACTTTTCACTATGACCCATCCATCTTGGGTGGCTCTGCATAGCATGGCTCATAGCTTCATTGAGTTACACAAGCCCCTTCACCATGACAAGACTGTGATCCACGGAGGAGAGGGTGCTCTATAAATATTTTGAATGAATTAATTTATAATATTCTTTATCATTTAAAATATTTTTGTGTATTGCAATTTCTTACAAAATATGTGAACTTGGGATCATTACTATCCTAGGCTTATGGATACAGAAAGTGAGTTTTGAAAGGTTATGGGTAATGTCCAATGTTACATAATCAATAAATAGGGGAAGGGAGCCCTATTGGAACTTGAGCTTTCCAATTCCAAATAGTGCTTTTTCCACCAACATACCTTACTTCTAACCTGGCTGATGCTATGCCAAGGATGGTATGTTCCAAGCAAATACTGACTGATTCTATGATAATTCTTATTGTCAGGCCTTAGAACAGTACTGTGACCTGCACAGACTGCCTCCAATCTCCTGACTTGGAGGTGCTCTTATTCTATGAGAATGACATGAACCAGAGGAGTCAGTCAGTGGAGTGGGAGAAAGTAGTGTGGAGTGGGCAGTCAGGAGTCTGAGCTTCTAAGCTCCACTTTGCTCTTGACATGTACCTCATTTTCCTTTTCTGTGGGCCTCCATGTGCTTTTCTGTAAAATGGGTAGATTGAACTTGCTGACTTCAAGGATTCCTTCTGATTCTAATATTTTGTGGGGTTCTGCAGTGCATTAATTTCTTCTCTCTTTCTTTTACAGTGCTTCCCATTGCTGCAGGGGAGAAAGAATGCTGGTAAGTGTGTAAGCTGGGGTTCACATGTAGCATGCAATAGCACTGAGCTTCTCAGATATCCTCACAGATTAGCTGATCAGGTGTCTGGGCTGTGGAGCTGATGTCCTAGTGCCAAAGCTGGAGATGTCCTTTGTCTCCCTCCAGTGGGCATTTCCCAACCTCTTTTCCCGAGGTCCACTTCTGAGGTCTTTTGAGGTGAATGAGCATGCAGAACTTCTGTATTTCTCAGATGGACGGTTTTCTCCAGTCAGGGAACCAGGGGAAGGTCTCCCCATAGAGCTATCAGCAAGTGGCAGCACCCATATGCTTCCCTTTTTCTCAGATGCTTTCTTTTCACTAGAAAGTATATCAGGCATGGGAGATATGTTGGGAAAGGGAACAGGTAAGAAGAGGTGAAGGAAAGAGACTTGGCATTTGGAGTTCAGTATCTGTGATATTTCCAATGCTTACTTTATTTGGAAATCTACCAAGAGAGTTAGTTAAGACTGAAGGGATATATATAGCCTTGAGGGAGAAAAAGCCCTCTCTTTCCTCTCCTGCAAATTGCTTAACTGTCTTCTGCCTCTGGTGTCCCACTTAGGTGTGAACAAGTGGGTGGCATTCTGGAGCACCTACCTTCCACTGAAGAGGACACAGTTGTTTAGAGATGACTGCTTTGGGGAGAAAGAGAAAGAAATATATTGGCCAGGAATGAATGTGCTGCCAGAGCCTGGACTCCTGGCATCAACTGGGCTTCTCTGAGGTCATCTAGGTCATCCTCTTGGCTCCAACCTGACCTCAGCCATTTCCACTGGCCACAGTTTTTCATCAGGATGAGCTCAGGACTTGAATGAGCATGGCTGCTAGATGGAAGTTAGGGTTGGGGCTCAGGGAAACAGAAAGGCACCAATTAAGAACTGGGATGCTAAGAGCCTGTGCAGAGCACCTTGGTAAGATGTTGGAATAGCCAACTGGAGCCCTTGCTCCTAAGGACCTCCCCAGGCCACTGGTCTTACAAGGAGGCAAAGAAGGGATCTGGTGACCTCCTAAGGGCTTTTCCACCTTAGGACCCTGCGTTCTTTGGTGGTGGCTGCTCAAAAGGAAAAGTCAGCAGGGAGAGGTGTTTATTTGCATTGCCCTGACAGCAGATGAGAGGGGACCCATTTTGGAGCAGGAACACTGCTTTGATCAGCATATAGCATACATCTGTTTCTCTCCATTGCCCTCCTCTCCCCAACCTCCCCCATCTCTTTCCAGGGCTGCTTGCTGAACACAGTTCCTACTTTGTAACAGAGATTTCTGGGGGCACAATATATGTGGGCTGCCCATAATGGGGAAAGGATAAACTTCTTTATTTCAGGGACACCAGCTGCAAAGGCTAAAAAGAAACCCTCAGGTCCTGAAATAATGACCCCTCCCAGAAAAAAGCACTGGGAGAAGTTTCCAGGTTGCCTCATTAGATTGTGCCAGGCTGAGTTGCCAGGGCTGCATCCTGGGAGGGTGGGCACCAGGTGGCTTGAGTGGTCTGTGGTTTCTAGAGGAAAGAGGAGTGTGGTTTTAGAGGGTAGGGCCAGGCAGAAGAGGTTGCCACCTACAGAACTGAGCTAGAACTGACTTTTGTGCTGCTTCTCTAGGTTAAAGTTTGAAAATGTCTATTTAAGGACAAATGTGAACACATTGCCTTAGGCTGATTGAAAGACAATCTGGAACAAATTAAGAGTTTATGTGGATACGGCAGTGGAAGCAGCAAGACACCAAAAATCAAAGGACCTGGACTGTAGTCCAAATTTCATAACCAATTCACTGTGTGGGCCCAGGCATGGAACTTCCTCTCTCTGGACCAGTGTTCATGTCTATAAAATGGAGCTTATTTCATGGGGTTCTTGCATGGATTGTAAGAAATGGTGCATTGAAAACATCAAAGTGCTGAGCAAATATGATTATTTTTGAGATATAGCTCAGGGAGGGAGAGAACTCGATTTATTATTGATTTTTTGGGATGAGGTTATGCTTTCACCTGTTTTAAAATTCAAGGGATATGAAAATACAAAATCTCACCACCCCTGTCTCTTCACCACTCAGCAATCCTCTCTGATATGACCAATGTTACCAGCTTCTTGGGCCCTTGATGAGTTTAGAAGGTCTAAAAGAAAGTGATCTGTACTATCCAGGACTTCAGTGGAGGCTATAGAAGCCTGCTTTGGGGTTATATTGAAGGGAATGTGCAGAGAGGGCAATGAAGAAGGAATTTCAGGGCAGGAAATGTGGAATAAGCATTTGGGAATCAAGAAGCCTGGGATCTAGTCTTGACTGCACAACTCATGGTTAAAGGATCTTAAGAACCTTCCCCTCTCTGACTCTCAATGTTCTATCTGTACACTGAGCCTGTTGTGTTCTCATATGCCATTCTTGCAAGTTTCCACCAGAGTAGAATGGAAATGGTGAAGGGGAGGGCTGACCAGGGACCTTTTAGAGAATAAAAAGCCAAGACATTGACTCAAAGCTGATGACTGAGTATGCTTTGCATATGTAATCTTCTTGCTATTAAGATTAGTCAATCAAAGGTTTCTCTGTCATGCTACTGCTTCTCTCCTAGTGGTTTCATGGACAGAGCAAATCTTTGGCACTATCTGCACAGGAGAACATTAGGAACATCTAACTGGCTTCAACATATATAATGCTGCCCAGAACCAGGAGGATGGCTTGAATGACCTTTGATGATCCTGCTATCATGGTCCAAGCATCCACTAACACAATGTTCCCCAAATTTCATTTATTGGTAAACCAACTTCACAGTTTTTGCCATCATTTCATCCTGTGCAGTATGTTTTTACTATGTTTCTTTACTTCAGCCTGATTTTAAACTATAACCTCACTTCAGTGTAGGAGACCCTGGATCCCTGGGTCAGGAAGATCCCCTGCAAAAGGAAACAGCAACCCAGTCCGGTATTCTTGCCTGGAAAATCCTATGGACAGAGGAACCTGGTGGGCTACGGTCCACAAGGTCACAAAAGAGTTGGAAATGACTTAGTGACTAAACCACCACCAAGCTGTAAATACCTATGGAATGAGGGATTGAGGTACTGGTTACAGCTTTCCTAATACATAATGAATTCACATATATCTATCATAATTCAAAACATTGATGTATCACTCCAAATCACCCCGTGCATATATACCAAGCATTGGAAACCACAGGTAGTGGTTACACAAACTGGCAGGTCAAACGGGCCTTTAGGCCTCTGTGGCTCACTCCAAGACTTGCTGAATGCTCCCGGGCTCCCTGCGGCACTCCATACTCCTTATTCCTATTACTTAAGAATGAATTGCTCCCGAGATGGAAATAAGTTCTGGAGCCTAAAAGGAGCCCCTTCCCTCCAAACAAATTCTGACCTGAACCATTCTGAACTGCCTCAAAAGTACTGAAGTGAGAACACTTGACCAGAGTACCAGAAGTTCTAGGTTCCCATTTTGTCTCTGTCTTTGACCAGTTGTGTGACCATGGGTCTGTCCCTTCCCCTCTCTCGGCCCTAGTGTTTCCAGTTATAAAGTGAAGTGCTTGGTCCAAATGACCTCTAAGGTATCTTGCCGCGCTGAATGAAATTCAATGACTTCTTGACTTATAGAGCCTATACTTCTGTTTAACCCATTAGCTCCCCTTCCCAGCAGCTCACAGAGGTGAGAAGCCTGCTAACCTTCCCTCCCACTGCCCTACACCAAATCCTCCCTGAGGCCCCTTGTTCCCAGTGCACAAGACTTCTTTTGTTGCCTGTAACCATTCAGGACTTCTCTCCAAGCTCTTGTTGAAGTGGCTGAGGTGACCTGGTGAGGGGGTGGGGGTAATAGTTGGCCTGTAACAAGAGTCCTGGCTCCCCAACCCACCTGGCTTCAGCCTGGCTGCAGGTTTGGCCTGCAGGTTTGGCCACACCAGACTTCATCCATCAGCTGCTCCAGATCCTTCCCTCCAGCTCTGGGAGAGCAGAGAGACTAGTTTAAAAGGGAGAAAATAGAAACAAAGGCATTTATTTAAGTTGCTATTAAACATCACTTCTAAGACTCAAGAGGAGAGTATACCGAAACATTGAGCCTATGAAAATTATCATAATAATAATAATTAGCTTCCTCTCTTTTGAAAATGACCAAATCATTACTGTAACTAATTCTTGACAGATCTGGCCATTTAACTTTTGCCTTTTGATAAAGAACATTCACAGGCCATAGCTTATCTAGCAATTGACAGATATTTTACCCGGCAACTTGGAGTAGTATAAAAATTGACTGAGTTAGCGGGTTCCTGGAATTGATTATCATTTGAGACAGGAAATCTTTCATCTGTAGTCTACAGTGAATTCAGCCAAGGTAAAAAACACTGGACTGAAAATTCCAAGATCTAATCCCAAATCTGACATTAGCTCCTTCTGTGACCTTGAGTTAGTTGTCTCCCCTTCCTGAGCCACAATTTCCATGTATGAAAAATAAGAAAGTTGAACTAGAAGGTCTCAAGATCATCTGTACTCTACTCTGTGTCATCCTCCACCCCTTGTTCCTGCCAGAGTCAGACTGAAAGGAGGGAGAGGCGGGGACAGGGTCAGAGGAAAGGGCAATTTCAAGATGTTCTTTGGGATAGGGAAAGGATTTCCAGACCCATAGAGGAGAGTCTAATAGCTTCTTTTGGGGTCAAAAGGGGATGGGAATTCCAGGTCCCCAGTGCTTGCCTTCAGGAATGCAAAATAGAAAGCCAGGCTTACAGATGGGCCAGGCAAATGTCCTGAGGCACAGCTTAGTTGACCATTTTTGCAGCCTGGGCCAATCAAGAAGATCAGAATAAGGGCTGTGTGGCACAGGACAGCTACCCACAGGCTGGGTGGAGGAATTGGAATTGCAAATGGAATGACAGATCTGGAAAGGACCTGAGAAGTGTTATTGGAAACTTCCACCAGGAAGTCACATGAATCCTTCAAACTCAACACTAAAAGTCATAGTTCTTCATCATTCTCCTGGAAACCTTCTCCTTCTCTAGG